AAAACCTCAAGGGAGAGATCCTGGGGGGGGGGGGGGAAGCAGCTCTTTCTCGGGCTGACTTTTCCCCCATAGCCATGAGTCGCCTTCTCAGGGCTAAGCCATTAGCTTCGTGAGGGTCTTGCTCTGCCAGCCCTCATGTTGGGAGGATCTCATCATGGTAGGCGAGAGTCATGTGTCGGTCCACCACATGACAGCGGGGCCCACCATACCTTTAGCTCCTAATATAAAAAAAAGGTCTTAGTCCATCCGAAAGGAGTCTTAGAACATGGAAAGTTTTCGTGGGGTCAATTCTCCGTTTCCTCACCCTGAGGACGTGATGAGGAAATGAGGGAGTGAATTCACAAGTACTGCGTAGAACAATAAGGAGCTGACCTTCTCCTGAAACGTACTACAATTAGTACGTTCAGGGCAGTCAACCTCTGTATTGTTCTATGTCTCCTGCTTATGCATGGGAGAGACTTGTGCATGGGCAAGGTGTTATACTGGTACAGGCCGTACGAGTACTGCATAGTGAAATGCCTCCACTGGGAAAAAAAAATTAGGGAAAATATTAGCGCCAATATTGGTCCAATGTTTTTCCGTGTAGTAATGCCAACAATGGTCCAAGATGGGTGTCAATGTAGAGCCAAGATGTATATATATTGGCGGTATATATTGACCCAATATTGGGGTGCTACTGGGGAAGGTGTAGAAGTTCTCTTCCAGGAGTTCTGCAGTCCTCAACGTGGGGATATGCCCACGTTGGGCCCACATTGGGCCAACATCGTTCCCCAACATTCACGTTCCACCAACGTTTCCCACCTTTACCCAACGTTGGCCCAACGTAATGTGTTACCCAAGGAGCACCAGGTATTGGTTCAATGATGGAACAACATTGGACGCGTTGGATGCACCTTGGCAAATATTCCCAATATCAGCTAAATATTGGCTTTCCAATATTGCCATCCAATAATATCATCGACCCAATATCGGACCGATGCGATGAGCCAATGTGCCCAAATTGCACTTTGAAGGTTTTTGGAAATGTTGAAGTTCTTCTCCAGGCCACTAAATGAAGGAATGGGTCTCGCATTTCGCATAGTACGCACAAGTGCCCTTCCTTCTATCCATGGAATCATCCATCACAGGAGTGTTTAGTACCTCGCCGTATGTCTCGCCAAGCCTCATAATAGCAATCAATAAACTTGGACACTTCATAATTTCTTATCCCCATATTTGAGACAGAATCATGGAGCCCAGGCCATAAACAAGCTCGCATTCCCGATGAGATCCCCTTATGTGGGTAAGTTCACCATATCCGAAAGAAATTTCAGTGCCCTGATCGTGTCCTCAGGCTCTGTCCACCATTTCTTCATCATTTCGTTCCCCTGGGAGCAGAATGATCATTCTGAAATGAGGAACTGACCTCGCGGATACGTCACAGAGTATGATAGGGTGGATGTACCAGCATGTACCATGTTCAGTACAGTCAGGGGAAAATCAACACGTATACTGTCCTATGTCTCCTGCTCAGCCATGGAACAGACGTGGGCATGGACAGGAGGTTACACTAGGACAGGCACTACTAGTACTGCAGATAGAAAAGTTACCACCATCGGAAAACCCCCACTAGGTAATGACTTTAGCATAAATAGCAGCACCAATATCGGTCCAATATGGGTCCCGGTAGTAATCCCAATAATGGTCCAAGGTGGGTGTCAATACTGGGCCAATATGTACAGGGTGAGTCAAAAGTCCTTGTGTACCTACACTAAAAAAGGATAAAGCAGCCTCATTCTTCGCGAGCAAGTTCGGACGCGAACTAGTGTAAATGTCTATAAGCAAGAGGGGGCCATTTCCAACATTTTTTATAACTTAAGTATGAGAAATGTATTTGTATTCATGTGCAGGGACTCTGAATAACACTTATTGTCTACGGTAGGTGCACATGGACTTTTGACTCACCCTGTATATTCCTTGACAGGCTATATTGATTCAATATTGGGGTGCTACTGAGAGATCTGGGATCTCGGTTAATAGTTAAATAAAAGAGTTTATTGGAGCAACCCAAGAACGATCCTAGAACTAGAAGTTGTGATTGAAACTGAGCTCAAATCTATCAGTACCGATACGCTGAAATCGACGATATTCAATTTAAAAAAAAATCCTCGAATTAGTTGTCGAGATGGAAGGCAGGCACATTAAGCTCACATGGAGTCTACATACATGATAAAGCCAAACTCGACCTATTCAATAAAATGTTATAACAGGAAATCCGAGGTCAAGTCCATTTTTGGCCATCGTGTACTTTATGGCTTCCAAATACAATGGAGTTATACGATACTTTCCGTCGAAACACTGAACTTTGTTTGCAGTGGTTTATTTAGCATAGACAAAATGGTTTTCCTGCCCTTTCAAAGGTATTAGGCAGTGAAAAGGGTTGACGCGAAATTGGAAAAAAATATTGACCTCGCCACAATGAATGATGCAAGAAGCTGAAATCACAAAAGCTCTCAGGAAGGTAAAATATTGAGATAGGCGGTCTTTGCTCAATCGATATTTTGAAAATCTGTTTCCAGTAATTAGTAGTGCCTCATTCTTGGCTTTGATTGCACCAGAAATATTCCTACTGCTAGTACAGATTTCTGTTCATCGCCCCCTGTACGAAAAAAAAAACCTAAGTCTGGTTGTAATATTGTTTCGAGCTGACATGACTCCACCCTCTTTGGGTACCTTCACGAAAAAACCTGGGATCAAAATTCAAGAATGGGCGCTACCATGGATGTCCATGAACTCAAACTGGTTAGTCTAGAAACGAGAATTCTCTGTCAACTAAAATATAAATGATGTTAAAATCATAAGGAGGGAAGGAGAAGAAAGTTGCTTCCACCGTATCTGCCACTTAAAGGCCTTTGAACCTCCCAAATGGACAGGAGTACTTCAAGCAAAAATTGACTAAGCATTTGCTCTCAAAAACTACAATTTTCTGCTTTGTGAGAATTTCTTTAAGACAAGAGGATTTGGGAGTCCCTTTCCATTTTTCCTATGCTCTTAAGATCATGAAGAACAAACGAACCAGATCGTGCTTGTGATATATCAAGTTTTGCTTTCCAAGTTCATTTCACTTCCTTCCCATTCCTCTGGAGAACCAGGAGACATGACCCAGCCATTTCAGTATGGGATGGATTGTGAAATAATTCAGATGTGAATGAAGAACTTCTAACTTTTCCCATCTATGGACAAGTTTATTTTAAACTGATATAACAATAGAAGAAAGTTTTTCTTGCCGTACATACACTGGAAAGAGTGCTTCAAGCAATGAGAAAGAATCAAGGGGGACACACCAAGAAGTCTAAGATCATCACAATCATAAAATCATGGGCTTGGTCCATGAACTGAAATGGTCTGTGAATTCTCAGGAAAAACTGGATTTGGCACATATGGAATTCTGCTGTAACATAACAGATATATTGATTGATGAGAAAGAAAAAAAACTGCTGAATTGATCCCAAAATCTGCCAATGTAGCAAACAGAAGCAGATCAGAAAAACATGAGAAGACCATACAGGGTTACTCCCCTCCTGAGAAATCTCAGACCACAGAGAGTGAAAGCCTTCCCTCTGAAGACAAACAGGAGAAAGAAGACTCAGTGCAAGTGCCAGAAAGGGGCACAACAATGGACAAAAAAAAGCCAACTAAACTTCTTTGCATGTGCATAAAATTTAGCATAATAAATTCTCTGTATCACATTTGAAGCTGCAAAATCTCAAAAGCTGAGAAAATATAATTGGAAAAAATGGAATCACCATCAGCAAAATAACACTGAATGCAACTGATTGTTGGAGGGAGAACAAAACAAATATGGTGATGTCCCCAGGTGACCATTTCAAGCAGACCATAACACTGGAAAGAGCAAGAGAGGGTGTGCTTGTGTGTGTATGAGGCTGGCGAGACACCCGCTCAGTAAGATATTGCACTTTGAGCACACAATAAGGGTGAGAGGGATAGAAGATCTCTCACACCCAGGAATCTCCAGCAGGCTGGCCTCCACTTGATCCTTCCAGAACCACATTTGACTCATTGTACACAACACCTTCATTCACATCATATGGTCCAGCAGCCATGCGGGCATCATACTGTCGATTCTTCTTTCTATCTCGATTCACTTGAGCATAAAGAGGCTCTCCAGGCTTTGGCTGCAAAAAATATGGATCTGGTGAAACAAGGGTGCCACTACACAAGTACCCATGCACAGAGAAGTGGAAAGATTAGTTGAAAAACTGAGTGCATCACTGGTTTATTTTATTTATGTATGCACTTTATTACTGAAAGTATTGGGATCAAGGATGATATGTCAACAAACTATTGTTCCACATTCCAACTCCATCAGCTCCAATCCATGCAACATACTGGCAAACACTGACTAACCAATATTTACCTTAATATACTTTTGGACTACTGTTATGCAATGTACAGTAATGTAGAGGGTACCACATGACCTCTGGGACAATCTGTTATTGGCAGAGAGAGGCTTGTCCCAAAACTTTAGGCAATATAGCATATCTTCCATAGCTACATTGTTACAATTTCTGATGATCTGAAGTCTACTGGAGTTTGTTCTTAATATTACTCTTTCTAATTTGGATTGGTACAAATGCAGACTCCCACCCACCCTCATACACTCCTGAAGCCCATAAGAAAGAGGCTGTAGGCAAGTATTATAGGAGTTGCTTCACCTTTTCTCCAAAGGTTTTGATGCTTAGGTTAGGCTGTAGAATTGTTTTAATTATGAGGGTGAAGCTCATTTTGCCAGAAGTAGGACACTTTTGAAGACTCATCTGACAAAGTTGCAAAGATAACACTTTGATAAAGGACTCACTTCAAAAAGGAGATCTATATAACCAAAACGTAGTTATGCTAACAACAAAAGTAGGCTTAAAAATGACTTGATATTTGGCAAAATGGGAAACTTTCTCATCAGCCATTTGCTTGCTGAAACTCCAGCGATTCCTGTGGCACACTGGAAGAATACATTTTGAAAACTGAAAACTCATAAAATAATGTAATGTCTCTGGTCTACCTGTTTTGATTGTGATGAAAAAATACCAGAGGTTCTTTGTCCTTTTGAATGCAGCTCGATTGAACTGAGTTTCTTGCTTTGAAAAAAGGAAAAAAATGAAAAAAGTTTTTGATAATAAAAAAAATCTCAATTACACTTTTGTTAATTTTCATGGAAAGATATTGACAATAATTCACCCTTTGAACATTTTTCATAGATTTTAAGTGCAAAAGAGGCTGTTTAACTATTTACATTTTGCACATAGGGCTTATTTAGCCAAAAGTAAGTTCTTTGGAAGACTCATTTCAGAAAATTTCCCAAAGGTAGCACTTCATTTATGGTCTCCTTGCTTAGAATATACTGTCAACTCCACATAATGGAACACTTACAGGATCAGCCAAATTTATTCTATAATCCAGAGTATTCCAATAACCAAAACTATTGTACTGTACTTCTTTTTCTCTGTTCTTCAGGCAAAGTTTTAAATTGCTATAATACAGGCCTTATTTTTTGCATCTTCCTCAGTAATTTAAGAATGCTTTTTGCAGATTATTTTTCACTTATATTATTTTCCGTTTAATTTTCTCAGTTTTTTCCATTTCCTCCAATTTTATTTTCATATTTTCTTCTGTAAACATGGCCTGCTATCTTTTTATTGCTCTACAAGTTTTCACTTCCTATTGTTTCCTCCACCTCCAACACTTCCCTTGTTTTTGATCTTGGAAACTTATGACTGAGAGATCCCAAAATGCCAAGCCAGTTCAGTTTGCATGCTGATGGGCATCCAGAACTGCAATCTTTTTGGCAAAGCTGAGGCCTTTCCTATACCCCATAGTCAACTCAGAATGTGCAGACCTGTTGCTCATAGGCTCAATTTATTGTCAGGTGAACTTGCTCTTACTTTCACCTGAAAGGGGCTGGCTTACTTGCCTTGTTTCTGTATCTGCAACCTATATATACACCTCAATTTCTAATAAAGGGTGTGCTTGCCTTTCCTCCTACCCCCACCCTCAGTTCTCAGAAAAGTCAGGTGGCAATTCATGACCTTGATCCCATGATTTGAGAGGGTGTGACTAGGGGAAGGGTCAGTGAGGACTTTCTGGGAACATGGAATAGGAAAAATGAGCAATTTGGTTTTCCTATGATTAAAAAACCTTTATTGCATATTTCATAAAAGTTTATTCCTTTAAGTGGGTTACTCTAATAATAACTGTATTCCTTTGTGCAAAGTTTTTCAAAATGTGTCTTATGGTTAAAAAATTGGGACAGTGCAATGATATTCCATTAAGCAGTATTTGATTATACAGAATCAACTGTACTAACCAGATTTCCAATTTGATATCATACTTTTAAAAAATTGATGGCTGCAATGACAATAGATCCCCCCAAAATTACTAATTTGATCATGAACTGATGCCATTTATGAGACAACTACTGGTGAATATGATCCAGATTCAAGATCCCATACAGGTTAATTTTCCTTCCTATACTGCCATACCGTACCAGGAAGTTGCAATTAAGTTAATTAACATGTTGCTGCAATGTTGATGGAAAAAGTTGCTTCACCGACACCTAATCTGGACCTACCCTAGCAGCACACCTACGTTGGGCCCATGTTGGAATTCGACATTTCGATGTGGGCTTGTCCNCACGCGGCGGACAAGCAAAAATAGGCTGGTCGTCAACGTGTTAAAGAAACATACTTCCTTCTGAAGCAAAGAAGGCAATTTTGCTGGGAAGCATGAGAAACTTCACAATATCACAAGTGAAAGATTTTTGAGAGTCAGGGATGAAGACTGCATAAATTTCATTCTGTAACTCAATTACTTGAGTTTTCATTATCTATAAAGGATGTGTCCGACATTTGTGCTGCAGTTCTGCAAAGGAGGAGTTTTTACACCTCTGTAAACTAGTTCATTGGGTTCAAACTAGTTCACTATATATGCACATTACCATTATTAACAAAACAACATAAACTCAATTGACATCCCATTACCTATGAAATGACCAATTTACATCTGATAGTTTTTCTGAGGGAATCTGAAGGGAACTTATAATTTTTTGACACCATGAACATGACCATGCATGTGCATTAGGAAGCCTTGGAAACTTACAGTAGCTGGAGGATAACTTCGAACTCCTCCAGGGGGGCCTGAATGTAGATGAGGATGATCACCATCTGGATAGGACACATCTGCCAATGGCACCTCTTCACCCTGTTGAAGAGATGAGACCCTATTATGCTTACTACTTCCTATAAAGCCTGGACTGAGGCTAGGAAGCCAGAGGCTCATCAAAAGTGAATGACTCAATGACTAACACCAGGAGCTTCTTCCAGATTGGTGTGCTTTGTATATGTGCTGAAGTTGTTTGGCACAATAAAATATATGAGCACAGTTCTTGTGAGTAAAGCAGGTGACAATAAAAAAGTGAAAGAAAAGAGGAAGTCAATGCTTTGGACCATCAGGGCATAAAAATAACTGCTTAAACCTTTGAGGCACACAATTAGATTTTGAAGTTTAATGTAAATTTAACTAAATACAGTTGCTGTTAGCTGCTATAAATTTTAAGTTGTGTTTTTCCCTTTTACACCAAGAGTTCAGGAAGTAAAACACTGGATGGCTCATGAAACTACTCAAAGGGTGGTCACAAATCTCAACCATCATTCCTCAGACCAAAAGGTGGTTAGACATTCTGATTGCTCTGACTGAAAGAGAAACAAGGGTGGAAAACGTTTAGATTCACAAAGATGGTGAATCACAAAACCACCTGCAGGGTTCATTTTGATGGTGGTCAAGTGAAAATTAAAATTTGTGCCAGTCCTTTGATGGAAGAAGCCATCATCAAATTCTTTCATGAATTATTCAATAAATGTTATCAAAAGAGAGTCGAATTGTGATGAATAAGCACTCATTTTGTAAAATTATTCTCAAGACACATAGGCTTACTTAGTCCTCTTCCCCATTGGATTTCTCTATGGGTATATTTGGAGAAAGGCATGAGGTAAATCCATATAAGGGGGGTAGGAATAATAAGAGACAGCACAAAATGTCATAAAACCAATGACTCAAAATTTTCGAACCTTGATATCTCCCCAAAAAATGTGATGAGTATGGTTTGCATCCTGCACTTCAAATATCATTACTAGAGATAAGGAAGAGATATTCTTTGAATTAATGGAGCAAATGTAGCAATGTGAAAACCAATTTTCAATGGCTTTCCCTTTCTTCAAACCCCCCCCCCCCCCGCCTCTCTACAGGACTCACCAACGTTAGGTCTACGTCTAACCAACAGACAGACTGCCTTCAGGTCACGCCAAGGGCTACCTTTTTTCCCGAAAGAAACTCTATTCTCGACTTATGGCGCCAATTAGGCCTATAAGAGTGAATCGTGGTCTTCGAGACATCTCGTTGAGAACGTATAACGTCAGGTCAATCGCAGGCCTATTCCTATTATCACGAAACATTTCAGGGAGGACATGTAATGTTAGACCAATTGGAAGCTTCTTTCGCGTTTCATAAACTATTTCTGAGGGACGGGGAACGTTAGGCCTATCTGGAGTTCCTCGAACCATCTCGAATAGGTCTGAGGAGAGAATGCCCTCAAGAAGCATGCAATCCATGGTACGCGCCATCCTGTTAATTCAGGGATGTCCAGATAAGATATCTGCATATCCCACCACATCGATCAATAACTGCTAACCACCGCTCATTCTCAACTCAACTCATGAACTCGGCACAAAAATGTCTCCCACATTAAAAAACAGAAGATCCAGATGCCAGTACGAAGGTCGAAAGTGTCTTGAATCTGGCATAATTTCGGCATTGTATCCGGCAACACTGGGGGACGATACTGGAGCAAGCAAGTCTAACTGAGCGACAGCTAATTTCATTTTTTGGCGAAATGGAGCGTCGCAAACAACAAAAACGCCACTTTTCGTCATCTACGAGTCAATATCTTTCTCATGGTTAGTCTCTTTCCTCCGAAAACCCCCCAGGAGTGGCTGCCCCGGGGGGGGTGTCGATATGAAATTCACATCCTCCAAAAACGAGATTCTGTGTTCTCCACAACCCCGGGGAGATGGAGCTTCAAATTTCCTGAAGCGATTCTGTGGTGAGAGAGGAAGAAGTATGCCAAATTTTGTTGCTGTAGATCCTCTCAGAGAGGAATACTAAGAGGTTGAATTTTGCTGCGGGAAGGGATAGAAGAAATTAATAGGCGCAACCGCGCCTATTGATTCATCACCAGTGTCATGATGCCCATATATCAACAACTTCTGTTTATATTTTATGTGTGTCCAAGAATGCCAATTCGAAGCTAGTTGCTATGGTTTCAAGCTAGTTGCTATGATGGGAAATCTGGTGCTATCAAAAGAAACATTTTTTTTAGAAGCTTCAACCATTTGTTCTGGTCCCTAAAAATAGTGCCTTCCTCAAAAACACATCTTTCATGTTAAACATCTCATTTTCCCAGCTTGCTAGTTATTACATTTCAAAACATATTTCCTTTGGTTTCTTTGTTAACAGAAAGCTGAAATTTAACTTGTGCATTGATCAATTTTCTACCTTTTAGGGCATAGAGTGATTATTCGAATTTTAATAAGCTTTAGATTTGTTTTATTCTGATTTAAAATGAAGCAGTTTTTTTCAGGAATCAACTTCTACATTTAATTTTACAGCTGAATATGAGTGTGTGTATAAAATGGCAACTCTTTTGGTTCGTTATTAATAGAAGCGATGAACCAGGAAATTTTGTTTACATAAAGACCAGTTAAATTGTCTCACCAATTCGCTCGAATTCTACGACTGGGCGACGGAAGAGAGGGATAAGGGGAATCCCGTGGACATCGTCTATTTAGATTTCGCGAAAGCTTTCGATACCGTTCCTCACAAGAGGTTGCGGGTCAAACTGGAGGCGCACGGGATCCAGGGTAGGACGAGCGAGTGAATCAGTAGCTGGTTGGCAGGAAGAGAGCAACGGGTGATGATAAATGGGGAAGCGTCGGAGGAGGTCGGAGTCGCAAGCGGTGTCCCTCAAGGCTCGGTCCTTGGACCGCTTCTGTTTTTGGTCTACATAAACGATTTGGATCTCGGCGTAGAGGGTAAGATAAGTAAATTTGCCGACGACACCAAGATAGGTTTTACCATAAGGGGGGAGGCGGATAGGGCTCGAGCCGAGCGAGATTTAAGTCTTTTGGACGAGTGGAGCAAGAAATGGCTCATGAGGTTTAATAAAAGTAAGTGTAAAGTTCTCCACGTCGGTCGAAACAACGGTAGGTCTCTCGATACGTTCGGCGATGTTAAATTGGATGAGGCAAACGGAGAGAGAGATTTAGGAGTTTCTATCGACGAGGACCTCAAGTTTTCCTCGCACGCGCAAGCGACGGTGGCCAAATGCAACAGGATTCTAGGTTACATTCGTCGTTCGGTTGCAAGTAGAACATCGCGCGTTATTCCTCCGTTGTTTTCGGCGCTGATAAGACCCCAGTTGGAATTGCATCCAGTTTTGGAGGCCTACAAATAAGGGCGATTTGTTGGCGCTCGAGGAGGGCCACAAGAATGATCAAGGAGTTCAGGGGACTATCATACGAGAAGCGTTTAGAAGTGTTAGGACAGGAATTCTTTACTTGCAGAGTGGTGAACGCGTGGAAAGCGTTAGATGACGAAGTAGTGGCTGCCCCTTCTGTGACTATATTAGGAAGAAACTAGATGCTTTCATGGACAGGCAAAAAGGTGGGGGGCAATGTTGACGTTATGTATTAGACAGTAAGCAACTAGGATGGTAAAAAATAAATAAATAAATAAATAATATTTAGCTTTAAGAGGGTTAGGCCTACCCCAAAATTAAGGAACCCTCGACACGTGATATCGAAATGGGTGAAATCGCCTCTTGATATCACTAACTATCTTGAATCTTGAACAGAACTGGTAACTAGTTCCTTTTCCATGGGTAAAGTGTGTGGCGTTACTGTAGCACACGCCTTTTCTTGATGATTATCTAATTTTGCTAAACACAACCAGCGCTTCATGGCAACATGCATCCTAAATGATGCAATATTGGGGGGAAAGATGGGTACGTGAAACTGCCTTGAGGAAACATGGTTTATTCAGTGCAGGTTTCTTGGCTGTACCTGAAAAAATATTTAGAGGTGCAGGTCAGGAACGAATTCGAGAGTTCTACTGAAGCAGTGGCATATTTTACGAAGGGCAGATGGGACAGCCACCCACCCTGGTGCCTCTGAGACAGCGCCTGGCCCCACCTTTGAGGTAATACTTTTCCATGCCATAAAAATACTATTACATTGTAAAAAAGTTTGTGAAAATTCATTTTCAATCATTCTATAGACTGGTCCATGTCTGGTTAAAGGGAAACAAGAGAACATGACTTTGGTTTTATCTACTTTTCTATCTGGAACTCATGATAAGGGGCAGGCTGGGGTAGGTCTCCCCATCACCAATGGCAAAATTGGCATTTTTTAAAACTAAAGGGTGCATTCTATCTTATCAGCATATAATTCCTGTTAAGTACCCCAAGGAAAGGGAAAAGGCACAGGAAAAAGAGTGAGCATGAGTATTTATCCAATTAAAGTGATGATCATAATTCAATTTTCATGAAATCAGGGGTAACTTTCACTTTCAGTCCATGCATCCAGTTTCTGTCAAAGAAGTGGAGAAGCTGTAGAAAAATCAGAATTTTTGTTCAGAAAAAGTAACTTGAAAAGTATCTTCTACTAGTTACTAGTTATTTTTTGTGAGAAGTAATTCTACAGGTAAATAATTACTTTTTGGATGGAATACTTGTAATTGTAACTAGTTACTTTTCATAAGTAATGCACCCAACACTGCAGATCCCACAAGAGCTTAATTTCTTCATAGCTGTCAGTTAGAGGTTGTTTGCTCTCCTGAGCATTGTCAATTCCATTTTTACAGCACACCTTGCACTGGTTGCCTTTATCCAACATACAAGGTGTAAGCTTTCTCTAGCTAATAGAGTGTGCATTGGTGGTGACTATGAGAATGACTTAAGCTGTAGCTTCATTCAATCAACAACCTTTCAGCAATACTCTTTCATTTTCTTCTCACTTATCTTAGCTCAGGTGAGATTTCCGAAAAAGATCTCTCTACACTGAAGGTTTGAGCAGGACCATGCCCTTGATGAGGACCCTTCTAATATATCAAGTCAGGTCAGGACTTTAGCACCCTCCTGTATATAGCTTCTGAAAGAAGATGTTGTTTCCTCAACCTGCATGAAATCTGGATAAATGTTGCTGATATCTTCCTCAATTAAGAGCAACAAGGTTGTCCATGTATGTACCTATAGGTCCACTTATATCATGGGTATGGGATGCTCTTCATATGTATTTGCTCATGATAAAAAAATAAGTTTGTCATATTGGTGTTATTCTACCAATACAGCAAACTTATTTTTTTACTACTACTACCCATTGGAATTCCAATGATTTGTTTGAAAATTTTTCTTGCCTACTGATATGTAATTAATCTTCAAACTAAAACATTAAAGCTCCACACTGACTATGCCAATGGAAAGAAGCAAGAACAAACCGTATAGTGAGAAGATCTGGAGAGATTGCTGTTGGCACCTCGCTGAAGAGTGCGATCTTCATAGCGTGTTCCTCCCTGGCTGGCCATGGGTCGATTCAATGTGCTATTCTGGGCACTAGGGGAGTGAGGGCGGGCATTTCTTGCTGCCACTGTCCGTGTAACAAAGTCCTGTTCCTTCCATCCTCCTCTTTTGTACACTTCACGTAGTTCCTGATGCTGCCACATTGTATACAACACCTGTCCACTGAACTTGATCACTCGAGAATTGTACTTTTGCCTCTGACGAGATATGTTCACCAAGCGATCCACACCACCAGCTTCATATAAAAGCCTGGTACAAAAAAGTTATGGAATAGCATTAAGGAGCAAATTTGCATTAAGGCAAATGAAAGAGAAGAAGCAACCAACACATCAGGTAACCTATTATGAAGTACCCACCTGGCAAATTCAGCATTCTTCTTGACCACCTCATTTAGGGTTGCCAAAACAGCTGCAATTGTATCATCTGAGGTACCAAGATCATGCTGAGGGTTACCAGATGGAAGCTTTTGGACTAAGTCCCTCATGGCATATTTTCCTGCAAAGATGCACAAAACATGCAATCATCAAAATTCAGTTCTGATACTTTCAAGGAGGAGAGTGCTTGATGACCATAAGTACCAATGAGTTCTTTGTTACGCTCATCAATAGCAAGGTTTCTGAGAGCTGTTGCTACTGCACATACGACCCGATCGACTTCCATGCGAAGGAGCTCAACAAGAATGGGTAGACCCTTCTCCTTGCGTACTGCTGCTCTGATATCAATACTTGCTTGCCAGTAGCAGGCAGCCAGGTTCTGGATGGCACCGGCAGATGCTTCTAATGTCTCTGGATTTGAACAATCTGATAGGAGACTCAGGTAGGGCTGGACAACCTGAACAATCAAATTCAGAAAATAGCACATCAGGTCAAAAGATGGATATACCTAATGCTTCATCCTCACAAAAAGGTATTTAAGTCCAAGACTTGGTGCCCATCCAAATACCTTTTTATACACCTGGACAGGTGCCAAAAATGATTGTGTATGATACCTACTTGCTTGCACATGTCACTTCCCACTTGCCTTCTGGCCAAAATTGGATTTCCATTTCATCACATCTACTGTGTTAAATTACAACAAACAAGATATTTTAATTTTCAAAACCTCTGTCTGCCAACAGCTTGTAATAATAATCATATGCATATAACTGAAGAAGTCATTCACCCTCAGTTTGGAAAGTCCCATCAGATTTCTCCCACACCACAAGGTTTCAAAACTAACAACTGTCTATAAAACAGACCCAACTGAGCTGTTGTACCTCTGATTTTTTTTCCCCCAAGATTCTTTTACTCTCTCTTCTGTGGTCTTTCATTTAGCCTCGTGAACAGGACCTTACAAGTACAAATGTTAGAAGGGAAGTGTTTTTTTTTTCTCACAATAAATTGATGTTCCTTAATATCTGCTATGCATGCAGTCTCAGAGTACCACAACCTTTTGACAGCTCAGTGAAACAACTTCTAGTGAATAAAAGCAATTCTGCATCAGTTTTCAGAGCATAGGCCCAAGAACAAACCATGAAAGAGTCCATTGTAAGGTGATCAGTACAAGAAACAGGTTTGTCATGACTGGAGTAATTTGAGCACTGTGCAATCTGGTCAAAGAGAAGACTTGGTCATTCCCAGCACAGACTAGGAAAACAAAAAAGTAAGAGGTAAAACTACTTTTAAGGCTACTGTAATTAATTTTGAAATCTTGAAGCATGGAACCAAAGCTCTGATGTGGAAGATTTTTACTCCCCACTAATCTAGAGGCTCTGGATTTGGTTCACAAGATGGTCTAAGACCTCCAGCTGGAAATACATGAGAAATTATTTATTGTCATGGTAGATTAAAGCTAGCAACAATTTGCCTTCACCTACTGAAGCTTCTTAGCCAGTTCATGAAACATGGACAATTAGTCAAACATTTCAAAACAGTACTGAGAAACCAACAAGGAATGTTCTTCATGCCTGCACAAAGTGTGTGATCAATTAGACCAAACCAAACCAACCAAAACACAAGCACCAAAATCCCTTATCTATACCTTGCTGATTCAAAACTTGACAAGAATGAGCTCAGTCTTGTGAAGTTTTTCAAAATCTCTTAAAATAGGTTCCTAACGATTTCAATTATTCCCAGGAAAATTGGAAATCAAGAACAAAATGAGTTCTTTTGAAAGCTGTCAAAGAGAACAGTACAGCACAATCAGCCAATCAGATCAGATTTTAGGATTTAACAAAGCTCTAAGATGGCATCGAGTCTGGTACATGAAGGCCCTGTTCTTTTTTTAACCTCCCACCACACTGTATTCATGATTGAGAATGTAAATAGTTCTTAATAGGGTTGTACCGGTGGCCAAATTTTGCCCAAGATCCAATTATTTCACACCCATCAGCCAGTGCTGATGCAGTGTCTTAAGAGGAAGAGTTATGGACTATATGATGTCAATACTTATTCAAAAAGGCCTGGAAGATCTCTAAATCTTTTTTTTTTGTGGATGCTTGTTTTGAAAACATTGATGTATCCACCTATACAGGGTGGGCCAAAAAAATGTACCCAATTTCAAAATGAAATCACAGGATAACCATGAAATACTTAAATAATAAAATGTATTAAGTAGGCGAAAGCCAACATTTTATACCAAATAATTTCTTTTTCTGTTGCAGGTTCAAAGTGCCTGAATTAAATTTACCGCAAAGAATCTTCATCATTGAGGTGCATATTAAAACTCAATAAGAAATAGTGACACAGCATGCATTCAGAAAGGAGTTTCCAGGATGTGAGGTGCCAACAGCTAAGACAACACAGCGAATTTTGACCTTTTCCCTTTTATTTGGTCAGAATTCATCATATTGTCTCAGCTGTTGGCACCTCACATCCTGGGAACTCCTTTCTGAATGCATGCTGCATCACTATTAATAATTGAGTTTTGACATGCTCCTCAATGATAAAAATTCTTTGTTGTAAATTTAATTGAGACATTTTGAACCTGCAACAGAAGAAAGGGTTAATAAGTAAAATAAGTTTTGACTTTTGCCTTCTTAATGCATTCAATCCTATCTTGTATGGTTATCCTGTAATATCATTTTCAAATTGAGTAAATTTTTTTGGCCCACCATGTATAACTATTGGTGGGGCATCAACACATCATGGAGTGTAGGGGGTGTCAGCATATCCCATCATCTCTCATCACAATTGGGTGGGGATTTCTCTTCCATTGTTTCTTGCCTTGATCTTGATCAGGGCCCAGGCCTCTATTCGTCACCTGTCAACTCTTCTCTGTGATTGGGGTGAGGGGGATGTGACCATTGCAGTGCTTTAAACCATCGATGCCTCCAATTCCAAAACGTGAACAGCTGTGTAATATTTTTTCCTCGTTTGGCACCTTCTTCGTGCATCAGCATCAGCAGCTTGCATACACACCGATGGCCAATACCGGTAGTTGTTGATTCATCGGTACAGACCTAGTTTTTATATATATTGGCAAGAGACTGTGTGGGAAATGAGGAACTCCTAAAATATAAATGTACCCAGATGGAAGCCAGGCGAATATTTTAAGAATGTGTGGGGACCAATCATTAAAAAATTTCACATCTTTTTTTTTTGCCTGGATGTGTCCTTATTACCTTTTATTCAAAGGTGACACAGTCCCTTTTTTTTCTTATTCATTTTCTTATTTAGGTATCTTTTAAATGCCACAAGATACATTAAAATATATGCAGTGAGAGCTGTATCATCATTGAAAACTGTTTTTTTGGTCCACCCTGTATAAGCCTCCACTGTACAAAAGGCATACCCACATTAAAATTAAGAAAAAAGAAACTTGTATAGGATAAGTAAGGGAAGGTGAAAGGAGCCAGGAGAAGGAGCTCAGATCTCATCCTGAAGCATAACAGCTGAGCACAGGCACTCCAGTTCTCCCTTCCAGTTCCATTCAACTGTGTTTGCATCACCTGCCATAAGCACATTCACCCACATTCACATTCCCCCTATCACACACATTCTATTTGCACCCATATCTCTCTGCATATTTGCAGGCCATGCAGCTGAGGTGAGGAGAGGAGGGGATGGATGGGGAACTCCTTTCTGGTTTTCTGAGGAAGTTTCCTTTCATAACCATAGAAAAAGATGTTTCATTAAGTTTACATAAAATTGAAGGACTTCTTAATTTTTCCCAAAATTCATAAGACATCCCTAATTTTTTTTTCTGCTTGGATGTACTAAATTTCAAACTGGGACTGCTGTGGAATCAAAACATATGGAGAATAATGTGTATGTGATAATAAATAAATAAAACTGTTGAGAAAATTATAGGAAAGTCTGGATGCATCTGTCATACCAAAATTTGTGGATAAACCTTTTACATATGGTAATCAAATGCAATAAATAGGTGAATTTTTTTTTCTCCCCAATGTAGATTAGCATCAAAAGGAGCAGTGATGTTCCATCACTGTTGAAACAGCAAAGATTCAGGGCCTGGTCTGGCCCAATGGAGAAAAGGGAGGGCAGGCTTTTAAAAAATCCTCAGAATTTAGAATGCAAGCTAAGGAAATAAAGGGAAAAAGGAAATGACACGATGTTCTATTTCTTTTGATCCCATGACAGTCCCAAATTGAAATGTTGTGCATCCAAGGAAAACAATACTGAGAATGTCATATTAATTTTTTTTTAAAGGAACAAAAAAGAACTCTTGGAAAGTAAAGGTCAAAGTTCAAACGTTTTGACCTTTACTTTCATGTATACTTTAAGAAAAAACATAATATCAAAGGGCATTAACAAGCTTGAAGATTAATAATTTAATTGCTCTACTACAGTAATTCTGACAAAACTTGCATACTTATGTGATAAACACCCAACCAGAAATCAACATTTTTTGGCAATATGCAATTACAGTTCTTCCAAAAGTACTTCATCTAGACAGCTGAAAAACAGTGCCGATTAGTTTCTCAATGGACCTTAAAGATCCACAAATTTTCTTCAAAATTGGAGGTCAGGTAAATGGCCATGTTGATTTTGCCCATGTCCATTTATTATCTGATTGACCAATTTCTTCCTAGCATAATACCACACCCAAGTGAAAGTCATTTGAGAGAATCTCACCTCTGGCTGCCAGAGGAGCTCCATTCCTCTAAGTGGTTCAGATCGTTGCCCAGGCATCTTCAATGGACCACTAATGTCACGCTGAAGACCAAATCCTGAAGAACCACTACCTTTTTCTTTCTTCTTTTGTGCCCCAAAGCACCCAGGGTTCTCACCTAGAATTAAATCATTCCATACTGTTTTAAATCTCACAGTATTAACACATTAACTGCCAAGGATTTAAATTCCCTGTCAACATCTCTTTGGCAAGCATAGCAATGGAGGTTCACTGTGTCAACATGGTGTGAACAGCAGTGAAACTGTTAAAAATAAGAAGTTATTAATTATGATTGCAATTATTGTGGCAGACCTTTAGTCAATGTTCCACTTGACCGGGTAGCTCCAGGTGGGGGATTTCTGTCATAGTTGGGATCTTCTACTTCTTGGCATCGATATGAAAGATTCCGTAAAACACATACGCAGTTTTCCACACTCTTGTTGTCGATGTTTGATTTGCCGATCGCACTCTTGACGACATACAAAAGAGAGTCCACCAGTCCTTCACATTCTCGCAGCTGCTTTCTGGCAAACTCTCCAGCTGAGCTAGCATTCCTAAAAGTGGAAAGCAGAGATGAATTATAAGGATTAGTCTACTGATAAGAGAAAAGGGGACATGGTATCAAAACTCACCTGAGTATCCCAGTAGAATTTCTGAAGACAGTTGAAAGATAGAGATCTTGGCGGGATCCCTTCTCATCATGTGGAGGAGGAGGTGCATTTCGATCCCACCCGGAGTATGGAATGATAATGTGGCTCACCAAAACAGTCATGGCATCATCCAAAATAGGCTTTTTAAGCTCCTATGAAAACATGGGAAATTCCATTCATGCAATGATTGGCAATATAATTTGAGAGGAAGACAATGAACCTCCATTTAATGTCAACCAACCTCGCAGGAAGAAAGATTCCACAAAGTTCCAGTAACAAGTTCTCTCACGTCGTTGTCATGGGTTCGACGGAGGAGGCGAATTAATGCAGGGATTCCTCCAGCATTGCGAATTGACTTCTTATTCTCATCATTTTGTCTTCCATAAGACAGGTTTCTAAGAATAAATAAAACATTTCAATTCCAGACATTCCACAGAAGATTGGAAGAATTGACACAAGTTAAATCAAACCTGAGGGCTCCACAAGCATTACGATGAACTTCAGGAGTTTCACTGGACAGGAGGGAGATCAGTGGTGGAATCCCACCAAGAGTACGAGTCTTTTGCTTGACTGGATTATCCATGTAACATAAATGTTGCAGGTATGCAGCTGCATTTGCCTTCACCACGTTGTTTGGATGCAAGAGGAAGTCTATCACCTCGTGAAGGTCTGGGTCTCTCCATCTCACTAGGATACACAGAAGTGAACCAATTTACATAAGTCAACATTATGAACATGCAACTGGTAATTTGAGTTGCATTCACTCTCATCCAGACTCCTGGAAATGTTCTTACTGACTCCACACAGTAATATTCTGGATGGTCATACTCATGTAGAAAAAGGAGCTCCTCCAATCAAGGTATTGCTGACAAGCAAAGCCAGCAATGAATAGCAGAGAATTAATGAAATTGGCAGTTACACAAGTAGACTTGTGCTAGCAAAAACGCAATCTGATAAGTACATCAATTGAATATAATTTTAAAATCTCATATGAGCCCATAGGAAAAGGAGGATGAGGATGAGGAGGAGAAGGAGAACCAGATCTGCGAGATCTATGGCTATCTTTACTGATCGCTCTCTCAACGATGAGCGGCAACGTATATGACCAAATAGGGTAATGACAGAAAACAGAAAATCTGTTTAGTAAAAAAGAACGAAAAGGAAAGGCAAGAAATGAAATGAAATGAAATTATATTAAATTAATGAACTGAACTGAAAGGAACGAAAACGAACCTCTGCCATCACTGGTAATGGAAGGGGATGGAGGAGGGAAATGTGGAAGTGGAAGGGGAGGATGATCATCGTCATCGAACATGGCCCTTGGGGCAGGGGCATCTAGTCCGTTTTCCTCCGAACTCACTGCAATGGATCCGGTTCATGACAGTCCCAAACAGCCAGGATGAGGAAGGAGAGGAGTGGCGGAGGGACTCACCGAACCGCTCGTCGGGGAGGTGTTCGTGATTGTGAAAAGGTTCTTCCCCCTGGGGGGCGAAGGTAGTATCCAATTCTGCATACCCACTTAGGCCAGGAGCTCCGCTCGGGTCTTCTGGAGGGGGTAAAGGAAAAATCCCAGTTTGGGTCACCATCAAGAAAATAGACGAGGATCGACGCCTCGTCTCTGACACTTCCTCGCCCAATTTGATGCGGACTTTCTTCCGCTTTTTCGGAGCGCCCGGCTGCTTCAGCATAGGCCAAAGCCAACAACTCCGCTCGGGTCGCGATGAGAAAGAGACACGGAAGGGGAGAACTTCTCCTCAGCCAAAAATAAAGAAGAAAAGGCGAGACGATTTTGGCATTCACTTGGGCGCGCGCAAAAATAGTTCCCTGCTCCCTTCTCCTCCCCTTTCCACGTGCAACACGAATCGGGTCCTGGCTTCTTTTCTCCCTCTTCCGTCTAATTACATACACAAATGAATGAAATGAATGTGAAGGACCGAAGGCAACACATCCGTACTGGATGATATGTCAAGAAAAAAAAAAAGAGGTTCTGAGGTACACCCACCACCCTCACCGCGGTGTTATGCAAGCGCTCCTTATCACCACGAGATGAACGATTTAATTTTTCCCCTCGTCTACCATGAAACCATAACACGGAAACGAGGTGAAATAATCACGTCCGAACTCATCAGGAAAAGATATCGCGAGTACAAAAAAAAAGGCCCTGATGCTCTTGGCGAGTACTCACCAGTGGGTGCTCGCCAGGGTCACTTGGCAAGTGCTCGCTACGAGCTACAAAAATTGAGAACTTCAGACGAGCATTAGCTAACAAGAGGCAACCTAACGGTAACATGGTGCCCCTCCTCCGTGATGGCAGTTGCAACGGGAAGCGAATGGCAGTGGCGCAACCAGGGGGGGGGGGGGGTTCTGAATCCCCCACACCCCTGCAAACCTCTGCAAAAGTGTGCCCCATCGCTATCGCTTTGGGTTTTTGTTGTGAATACATCTCTTCTAATTATTTGATAACGCCTTCTTGCATTCGGAGACGTTTAAAAGACAGAACTTTCCCGAACCCCCCCCCTTCCCAGCAATCCCTTTCTGCTAATACAAAGCATGGTCGATTGGGGGGGAGGGGGGGTAAGAGTACGTGAAACAACCCTAATCAAACAGTAAATTTCCTCCCACTAACACAGAAAAGGGGGACTTCAATTCATTGAACAAAATGCAATCCCATTTATGTATCTCGAATAGCAGAATAAATATTCTCAAGGTCTTCCACATGTTACCATCACCTTGAGCTCAGCTCTTCAGATTAAGATGATTAATAACGAAGGTACACTGGTTTCCAAAATCGAAAGAACAAATAGATTTTCCCAAGTTCCGCAACACCCCCGTCATGAAAATGGTCGAGTATGTAAATTAACGATGCTACGTTGCCATAGCAACGTTGCAACGTGGTGGAGATCGCCCGCTGATATGCAAATCACATGCCTTTAAAAGATGGCGCTCTGAGAGGGGGTAACGCAGTTCACGTTTGGATGGCAAGCAGGTAATTTCAAGACAGCCGAATCCTGAAAATGATCGAAAGGAACCATCTAATAGAGCCATTGAGATGGCGCGCCATTGCGCCTTCCGGATCGCAATCGTTTGCGGGGATCGTCCGGTCGACAGCCAACAACACATTTATGGCTAGTTTATCCACGACATTCACATGGTGTTCGTCATATCACGGATTCTCAAAGTGTTCCTTAAGTTTTGGAAACCAATGTAGTTTATTATTATTGGCTGATTGTTTGGAAGAGGTACAAAGACAAAGAACTAGTATCTATAGAGTCATAGACCACCGTGACAACGGTGTGACGATGTGCAGTGTCGCGAGATTTGGCATTTCGTGAACCTGGCTATAAATCCTGATCCGTCGTGTGCAGGCTGACTCCGTTTCTCAAAAATGTGTCAGCTTCGAAGATTAGAAGGGAACTGGCGGCTCTGATAAGGCGCCGACGACACCCGACAAAAGCTACGGCCTCACAATACGCCCCGATCCAGGAAGCCTCTTGTTAACTCTTTCCCGCAGTGACGGCAGCCTGCCAACGTCGATTTTATCGGCGATTAGCACTTCCAGGGTTAATACACGATTTAAACATGGCCTTTCTGGCATGGACTCCACAAAAAAATTATCTAAGCCAGTACCTTCCAATGTGACAGCATACCAATTTCCACAACCACCAGACTATATTTATTAGGCTCCGTCCAATAAAAATGAAAAGAAAAACAATGACAAAATGGACTCGATCAAAAGTGGGCTTTTCTTTTTTGATATGATACTTTTCTAACCCTTTCCAGAGATGCACTGAACTCGAGCCAAAACTTGCTTGTAACTGAGGCTCTTTGCTATATCCCAAACTGGAAGACAGTTCAGTCTTTCAATTGACCCTAAGTTTTCCCTCAAATCCTTGCTGCAAATGCTGCAATAAGCTTTGAATGGATTTCAAATAGTGCCTCCAAATGGAGACGCTAACATGGAAAGGGTTAATTAAAAAAAAAAACTTGCTAAAACTCGTTTATAGAAAGTCAGCTGCGGTAATACTCTCTCTATCACTACGACAGAGAGAGAAAGGGGGGGGGGGGACGATGAATGTGAAGCTGTAAACCTGGGCGTGTTCAAGTAGAAACAGAATCCATACCACAGGTACGGTGATACCACAGGAACACGAGGTTGGACCTCCCAACCCATTAACTATTCGGCACTGGAAGGCACATGAAATCAAGCTATTTCACAATATCGCATTCCATTCCAGGTAGAAAGGACAATTACTTTCATAATCTTACATATGACTCTGGTCACCGAAGTATGAAGCACACAGCCTTCGCTAAAGAATATTTAGGTTAAAATAATAATAATAAATTGTTTATAGGTTGGTAGAGCGTGCACTGTCAGAGAGAGAGAGTGCAATGCCATGAAGAAAGAACAGGTGTATGAGAGTATGAAAACCAGCCTCATTCCCAAAGATTGTTGAAACGTGCAAGGAGAGGGCAGAGAGAGAAGAGTGTGAGAACCGGTGACCACCAGCAAAGGGGAGGCAAAGGAAGGGGGAGAATCAACTACCTCCTCCTCTTCCTCCGGTGGGTGGAGGTGACTCGCTTCCACCCTCACTGGGCGTAGGAGGGGTCGGGGGACGGGGATGGGGATATCGTGGTCCCAATCCCAATTCGTAGCTCCCACTTGGCGAACCGTGACCGTGATGACGTTGACCATGAAGATGATGACTTTCATAGTTACCTCCCCCTGCTTCAATGGGACAGGAAAGCATACCCATACTCTCACTCCACTCCACCCTCACATTCTAACACCACACGAAGCCCCGTATTCACGTCGCTTCCATTAGCACCAAGAGTAACCGAAAAGATGCAAGTAAGGGATTTCCCATAGATTCCTTTTTAAAGTTTCTCCCTGGATGAGCTCTTTAAACTCAGCATTAGCAGAATCAAGAAATTATGGAAGCTTCCAGCCTCTTTTTAGCAAAGTCCTGCAAGTTCCTTGGAGCTCACTAGCAGTAACTCTTTAGAATTTTAAACTTACGTATTTGCGGTTCCTGATGAGAGTTTTCAAAATTTTTATTGCTAATTTTTTTCTTACCAACCATGCAGGTTATCCCCCTTCTACGTTCCATTAAACCTACTACCTTACAAAAATGTGTAATGTCCTGCAATATGCTTCAATATATACAGGGTATAGCAAAAATATGATTCCTGAATTTTAACCCATATATCTCTCATATTAGTTATTCGCATGACACCTGCACTGTGTAAAGGCTTAATATGTCTCCCAGAAACTTCTGATCTATTTTCTTATTTTGCTACGTTATTTGCTGAGTAATCAGTGAATGAGGGGGTGGATACTGAAAATGGTCAGGAGCTCATGTTGATAGGAGTGGAAGATGCACGTTAGCACTATCAGCCAGGCCACATAATTTACATTTGAAGTTCTGAAGGGATTGAAGGGAGTATTCAATCTTATGCTGGATGAACGAATTTGGATGAAATTTCAGAAAGCTATCGAGCACGTCAGACTGTAAACAAAGTGAAATTACGTGCAAATTAAATGAACCAGGTCCGTCAGGAAGTTCTCGACTTCACTCACAGCCTAAGCCCGATTGTTTTTTTCTTACTATCATTCTTCAATGTAATAAGCATCACGATCAATGGCACACTCCCAATGATCACACAACATTCTAATACCGGTTTCGTGAAAAGAGCCTTCTTGCTGCGAAACCATTTTCTCACGGTCGACTTCAGGCTCATCGTCGTCGTCGAACGCCCTTCTCGATGGTCCTTTTTCAGATTTGCAAACAGTCTGAGTCGTTTCCGGACTGTAAGTTGGATACATGGCTCCGACTATTACCTGTTTGCAAATGTGAAGGACTTTGGAGGAAGGTGTTTTGGCGACGACGAACTGAAGTCGACCGCGCAAGAATGGTTTCACAGCAAGAAGAATCTCTTTTCGATACTGGTATTGGAATGTTGCGTAGGTCGTTGGGAGCGTGCCATTGCGCGCGATGCTCGTTACATTGAAGAGTAAAATAAAATCTATTCGTGCTTGGTTTGTGGGTGAAGCCGAGAACTTCTTGACGGACCTGGTACGTGTAAATGGTGAAAATGACTTAGGTAGGAGAAGAGAATTCAGCCCCTATCTATGTCACTCCCTTGGGATCCTAGGGATCCTCTTTGAGTTTGGGTACCCCTAATTAAGAGTTTATTTAAAGATGGAATCCAAGTTCGTCTCAGACCCTCTCAACTAAAAATCCCACAAAAGACACTCAGGTATCGCCAACAGGTACCTGATGAAACTCAATCAGCTCACTATGAATAGCAAATATATTCATCGTTGAAGGAGAACACATTGATTCTATCACGTGGGATTTATGTGTGGAATTTCCCCTGGTACTACTTCAGGGATTTGGGGTAAATACCTTTGACATTTCATATACTTATGTAATACAGGTACATGCAAACCAGGGGGAAGTATTTAGAAACATGGAGCAAACTTTTTGCATTGATATCTATTGACTTGAAAGATAATAACAGGAAAAAGTGAAATCAAAACCATTAGAACAAAACCTATGTAAACAAAGAAGGAATTTTAATACTAGGAACGCTAAATGTGACCTGGATACGCAATCACAGCATAATGGCATTTTTCCCCCTCAACTCACAGCACTGGCTCCTGTCCATGTTAACCATCATGCAGTTACACAAAAAATTTAATGGCAGAAGGCATCTGGGCCCTTCATTGCCACCAATTTTTACCTGCAATCACAACCTAACACCTGTCAGATAAATAGTCCAAAAAGCGCCTAAAATTGACAGACACATCTACCAAAATACAGTCATAGTTATACTACATAAGACAAAATGCATACTCAAACCTTCATGGGAGATGTTGAGTATTTTCAACATTCAACTCTAATAAGTGAGGCATAATAACTGATGTGACAACATGGAAGACATATTAGGCTCCTTTAAGAATTACTAAACATTGATTGAGCTTGTTATTCCATGCTGATGAGCAAAGCTTCTTCCTCCTTGTCTAATAAACAGAGGAAAATGCTTTTTAAATTTAGAATGGTCATGCACCCTGAAAAGGTAGCAAAAATAAAACTGAACTCTCAATTTGAACTTACCATGATGATGTTGATGATGGTGATGCAGAAGATGATGATGATGGCGATGATGGTAGGGGGCATCAGGGTCATAGTGGGAGTATTCTCCTGGGCCTGGACCTGGGGCCAGGGTTGCATAGGGGTAATCCATGGGCTGCCCGTCTGGTCCAATTGGGATATGGTGCACCTCACGTATCACCTTTGTCACTTTTGTCACCTGTGAAAGAAGATTTTCAAAATTTTTTATATACTGTACACATCAAATTAGGTCCATCAGGAATCTGTCACAGGACAGTGATGGGTCATACCTGTTGAGTGGTATGTTGCTTGTGAGTCCTGGAAACAAGTTCTGTTCCAGCAGAAGTGGAAGGGGAAGAGCTATGATGTGAGACTTGAGATCCAGGACGGCCTGCAACAGCCTGGTCCTCTGCGTGCCCGTTACTTGAAACTGGATGATACGTCACGTCTGCTGAATAACTGCTACTGCTCATCTCTTGAAACTCTGGTTCTCCACTGTCCACACAAATGCATCATCCTATACTATATACTTCACAGCTGTGTTTATCTAAAGTGATCATCTAATTACTGCTGAGTTTCCAAGAGAAGTGGAGTGTCCTATCAATTTCAATGTCTGACTTCTTTTGAACAATTGCTCTTAGCCTTGGTTTGGTCAAACCAAATTGAACTAAATTTCACGTATCAGTCAGGAGAGTGTCAATCTATGCAGACTGTAAGTTTTGGGATAATAGCTCCAGAGAGCACAGTTTTCAGCAAGAGCACAGACACACTGATTCAAATACATTTTTTTTAAAAACTGCATTAAGTTTTTTGCTCCACAAGTCCACTGCCTGAGTTTTGTCAAATTCCTCTCAAATACCCATTAGATTTTTGAAATTTCATTCAGCATCTTTGTAAATAAATGAACTTTAAACTGTGAAAGCTTCAAACTAAATGCTTCAGAAAATACTGAGACAGTCAACATCCATTCCCCTCACCTTTTCCCAGAGTTCCTAACTAAAAGCAATTTAGGAGAATTCCAGCTTTATCCCAAAAAGAAAGTTTTACAGCATTCCTGTACTCCTTGCAGGAACTAAAAGAAAAAATGCTTCACCTGCAATTAATGACAATCTGCTCTAAATATATTTTAATAGACAGTAAAACAAAACCTTTACAGAATGGCCTGACTAGAGGCACATGAATGTAGGGGGGGGGGTGTGCGGCAGGACACGAGAGGCTCACCCCATGACTCCGTCCATTTGTGTTGTCCCCATACTTCTAAAAAGTAAACTTCCATCATATGTGACATCAATGTCTTTTTCTCAGTGAACATTTTTTTTTACACCACTCCCACCTAGGTATCTCATGTAGCAAGAAGTTTGGCAAATATTGATGATATCTTAAAAATGGTTGACATCAACAGCAACTGTAGACCAGTGACATGCCTGTTCCAATAACTTTTGTTTACATAGCTCTTCAGAAATAACCTGATAAAGAATATAATGGGATAATGCTGGGATCTAGCTGTAGGTATGTTTGAAGGTATGTTTTGCAACCCAGTAACTTCCAGGAGTAGTTGATTTTCTGATCTAGAGTATCTTTGGCGTGAACAGTGGGGGAAAAAAAGTTACTGATAGTGCTATCATCTAGAAAAAAGGAAGAACTTTTATAGTAGTATCCCAAGTCTGAGTCATATGTCTATCATTGAAGCCATGAAGCATGTCCACTTTATTAATATTGCCTCTTAAATGCATTTGAACCATGATTGAACATGTTCAGAAAAACACATTCTGAAACAAATTTTAAGCAAATGTCTTGCCTTTAAAATTATCTGATTCCTCATTAACTGCATTTCACCCAATATCTTACACTGAATATGAGGTTTATGCCAATTATAGTCTTTTTTTTAATCAGGGCAACACTGCTCACTAATGAGCTGTTACGGGAGATCAAAATATGCTTAAAACCAAAGGGTATATTCAAAGAGAGGCATATAACTCTGAATTGGAGTTGATAGACATGTGAAATATTGCTATGACTCCTCAAGACATCAAACGCTATAGGTTGTATAAAACCGATATATCTTCACCATGAGTCTCACAGATGCTTCCTCTCACGCTCCAAGAACATACAAATGTTGGCATATGACTGACTAGCTGTAGGAAGGAGGGTCTATGGCAGTGGTTCTCAACCTTCCATTCACTCCCATTGAACATTCATGTGTTCATGGGGTCACAACTCACAGTTTGAGGACCAATGGTCTAAGATAAAGGCCTGAGAGCAGGGAAAGCTTTTCTGCCTTCATCACTTTCAATAAATAGATAAATAAATAAATAAATAAATAGATCTTCAGTGGAAAATGCAAAAAAAAAAAATGCAGGCAATAAATAGAACTCAGATTTCATAAATTATTTCAAATTTGACATAATTGTACATGGAGAACCATGAACTGCCCAAGGCTGGACTGAAGATTGGTAACAGAGATTATTAGTCTTATATGCAGGTGTCCCAAAAAAATCTATACACAGTGCAAAATGTGCACAAGGGACATTCTGGAAGACCTTGCACATCAACTGATGGAGATAGTGCTACGAATGTGTTGCAGGTTTTCATGCGGTCACTTAGAAAGTCTATAAGACAGTGTGCTCATGAGACCAGTACCTTAACATCCCTTGTGCACAACTTGCACTGTATCGTCTGAATCAAACTTACCACATAACCTTGAAATGGTTAAATGTCTTGGTGGTTCAGTTTCAAATTCATGTCTCCAACATCCTTGCACCTCTTTCACATTCTCCATTTTACAATAACATTACAAAATCCACTTATGCAGCTCAAATGTCAAACAAGGTTCTGCCATTTTAATCTGTGCAAATTACCCATAGAGCACTGTGTGTGATCATGTGATATTACACTAACACCTTCTAGCAGTATTATTGCATATTATTATAAATCATCACCTCTTCAGCATCATCACAATCACCACAATCATCACCATCTTAATTTTTACATGTTTTATCAATGTTCAAAGTGTATATACATTTTTTAGGGACACTCCAAATAGAGACAATCATGAGCGACTGATGCTAATTCTAACCATGCTATAGAAAAGTTAGCAATCTGAAACTTGGTACACTGGTAGCTATTGGGTTGCATAGTTCAGTAATATCCAACTTTGGAGGTATATGCCCTGGGGGCACACATTTTGGGAGACATGTTTTCTAATAAATATTTTTACTTCAGTCAAATGGAGAGACATGGAAAACTGAAATTTGACATGAATGTGCCTACTAAGACACTGAGATCAGGAAAAATATCAAGTTTCAAATGGATGCCCTGTGGGCATATTTTTGGGGGGTGACATTTTCAAAGAATTGTTTTTGTCCTATTGAGTTGAGCCAAAATAGGAAGGTTCACCTTCCTATTTAGGCTCAACTCGCTACTTGGCACATGCATAACTGACATGATGTTGAGTTCAGGGAATATTCAGTTTTTGTGATGGACTCAGGGCATAAATGTTGAGTGGGTTGGCTTTTCTAAACATATTTTTTCAATAGCGAAAAGGGTAAATGAATAAGGTTGAAACTTGGTGGGTATGTAGTTCTCAGAGTACTGACTTCGGTAAAAACTTTACTTTTTAGGTAAAACCCCTCAAGAGACATTTTTTGCAAGCGGTGCATCTTATTGAATCTTTTTTGATCCAACAATACAGAGAGCAAAAGAAAGTTGAAACTTAGCACAGAAGTACCTGATGGATAGCTGAGTAAATAAAAAATCCCACTTTTGGAATATGTCATCCAGGGTGGATTATGGGAGGGGAGCATATCAAGATTTATTTTCTGCAATGACAAAATGCAGAGATTTGAAGTTAGGCACACAAAAAAATCATTGGGATAATGATTTTGATAAGTTTTTGCCACTTTGATAATGAATTAATGAATTAATCCCTATCCTGGACAATGGAGCGCTGAGGGCACGACCATAGTGAGCGTGTTTTGCCTGAAGGGCAAACAAACTTGCTAGTATAGTATACAGACAGAATACTCACTGATATGGAGGCATATCAATACCCCGGTCGTGAAGAACCCGCCTAGAAGAGATAAAACACAATCCAAGTTGTAGATTAATCAATCTGAACAAAGAAAAAGTGCGGAAATTAAAACAGTGGATGAAAATATGTTTGTGCTTCATGGAAATGAGAAAGGCAAAGAGACAATTCAATACAAGAACTTATTTTCTTTCTTATTACTACTCTCCAGCTAGAGGACAAAACAAGAGAAGGTTCCAAGTCAGGAGCTAAACTTTTCACACAATATTGTGAATGTCCTCTGTCAACCCATGATAAATCCATAATTGAGGAGATTCCTGATATGTAGAGCCAAAGTTACAAACAATGTTGGAAATCATGACATTTCCTGAACTTGTAATGAACAGAGCAGTCTCAAAAGTAAGGGTATGAAAGATTAAAAGTCTTGATGTCATATTCAATTTCTGATAATATGGAATGTTGCAATAGAGCTGAAAAAGTCTCACACAATGAGACAATTATGACTTGAGGATTAACAAAAGCCAATAAGCCAGTCCTGTTCATCCATGTCCCTTCCCCATGATGAGAAATGAATCACATTAATGTGACTTCACAAGAAGGGGGGGGGGGGGGGGGAAGCAAAAGTGATAAGAAAAGAACGTGAATCCTCTCAGTAAACTCTTCAATTACTGGTTTTCCAAGACTTAGTGTATTGATACAAGTTCCACAGAATATCTTATATATTCTGTAAATAGATTCACAATGCCCCATGGAATACAGGCCCCTACCTCAGCATCATTTACATTCTACTTAGGTTTGGTTGTCAATGGCTTATAACAATACTTCTAGTTTCCTAAAACAAATACAGATACTAATGGATGCACCTAGTCTTGAAGCTCATTTAAAAAAAAATGAAATCAGGGTTGGAGGAAAACAACCTCTCCCAGAAAACCTAATTAGGTATTTTAGGCTAGTTGATTCATTATTTGTTCTGGGTCCCACAAGTTTCCTATGGAATGGTTTGGCACGGCATCATGACTGCTGCTGAAGGTGAATACAACAAGGGATATTGATAGAAAGGTCTAAACTGAAAATATAAAGAAACAAAATTTCAATTCACCCTCTCTCAACCCCATCCTGAGTGGACATGGCATTTCTCACCAATTTAGCTTGGATTTCAATGAATCAAACTCTATCTGAAAGTTTTATGCCTCATAACATTTGCATTTATAGAAGCAAAATAATTTTGAAAACATGGAGATAATTTTTCTGATTGATGACAAAGATGCTTATTTTTGTTGTTATCTCTGTCTTCATAAAATAATACCATGTTAACATTTTCACACCTGATGGCACCATGTCCTCCATGCAACATAATGCAAATAGTCAGAATGTAGTAACGGGCCTCTCTGAGATGTTGCGAATGTACAAACAAAAGATATGAGAAAATATATTACCCTAGGTAAGTCTTGATGAGTAAAAATGATTTAATGAGCTTTCTCTGATGTGCCTCAATGGGGATGAGGCAGTCTCACAAACATTCTTCCAAAAAATGAAGATGGACTAGTGCTCCATGGGACAATGTGAGACTTTGAACAGGGCACTTCAGGTTTAGACTATGCCTAAGGTATGGGGCATTTACTACAGGGGGCACATTTTTTAAACTACTAATATCAATCAAAATTCCAAGTTACATCTTTGCACATATTTAACTCCTTAATGACACTTTTCCCTTTTCCCCCTTTTGTTTCCAGCTGTAAAGAGAGAGAGAGGCAAAAGAGAGGGCAAAGTGGTACAGGCCATTCATCAACACCCAAGAAAGCAGGCATATGAGGTCATGCAATGAGAAAGAGGAGTACTTACACAACATTGCTACCAAACTTCTTTTCCTTCTTGACTTTGTGAGGTCCAGTCAGAGGAGAGAGAGCTTCATTGGTCACGCATGCACCAAAGTGAGAAAGGGAGAGTGAGCAAGAAAGAGAGAAACCAGGTCAGGGCCTGACAGCTGTTAGATCCTAGACAAGCACAGTTTCCTGATCCTCACATCCCAAAAGATACATTCACATTCGACTCCTAGTCTACATGTGCCTTAGCTTCCACTAATTCATGTCAAAGAGAGGAAAGAATTCAAATTGATTGGAGATCTGACAAAGACAGAATATGCACACAACAGTATGATGAATGCAGTCACACAATGCGACTGGCATTGCAATATGCTTTTCTTGCTAAATTCCACTCTACATTACCTTTCCAAGTGCTCCATCCTTTCCACAGATACTTCTGTTGTCTCTTCCACTTTGCGATTTACAAGTCTGGAAGCACAGAATAAAATGTCTTCAGTTTATTGAAATAAAACAGGTTAATGACATGGACCTTGTTCCTTCATATTCATGACATTAATAATCAAATAATCCATTGTGATTGTCTTTGGAGCATTTACAAGTGGAGCCACTAAAGCCCTTCTTCAAGGTTGAGCACAGGCACAAAATATTTTTGGGTGGAACCAAAGCAAGGAAGGTTCTTTCATTCTGTGGTCAACCACACCACTCTTCCAGTTGAAACACATCATCAGTATAGTGACAATGAAAATATCATGTGTACTGAAATGCAGAGGCAGGGAGCAGAGTTCAGCTCTCTTTTCTGCTATATTTTGAAATGAACTGATGCCTGAACTACATATTTTCCATCTTAGTTCCCACTCTTGCAGAAATGAAAAAAATTCCACTTGTTAACCCAATGACAAAACCATGCAAGCTAAAGAGGTCAATGTCTAAAGCAGCTAAGTAAAAATCCATTCCATGAGAAGTTTTAATTCCCAATGAATTGAGTGGATCAAGTTTTACATTAACGCTTTATGCACATCATGTAATAACTCTAGGATCACCACAATGTATGAACTTTTAGGTTGTTCATCAGCATAATTCTAAAGTTTGGCCATTTCTTCTATTCATCCATGTATCAATGTAAACAAGACTCCCTGTGACATGTTGGTTTTCTGGCACAGTCAGCAGTCATTATAATGAAGTATGCTTTAACAAAAAAACCATTTAACAAAAAATCAATCAACATTTAGTTGGCCCCAGCATCTTTCTGTACAGATTATACTACGTTGCAACAAATTATGATAATATGAAATGTACCTTGTAACTAAGTATTTTTCTTCTATTGATTGCCATAAACAAGCTCTCATAATGAAATCGCAAAATTTTCATACCATTACTGTCCCATAACAAGCCAATAATGGAGCAGGAACATGGTTTAAATTGTGGCAATATAAGTATTACCTTCACTCAAGAGCAGTTAGTTGCACATTCGATTTGTCATGCCCATGCTCAAAGCAATACTGTACAGTATAATGTTGCTTGTTTCTACTTCATCTTCAGGTATAGAGAAAATTTTATTTTATTTTCCAAAATGCCACCAAAACATTTTAACGAAAGGAAAACTATCTCCCCTTGAGTTTTGTAATAGTGAGGCATCGACTGTAGTTCATTCCTGTCTCTCCAAAGTGAATAAGAAAACACTGTTGAACCTTTCTGTAGTTCCAAGCTATTGGCACGTACAGACAGCAAGCAAAAAACTAAAAACTTACAATCTACAGTAGATTCTGACCTGCAGAAGTTCAACCTAAAGTGTCAGGGTCCCACCTAATAAAAATACAATCTAAAATATATCCAATAGCTGAGAAATGGAAGTAAGATAGGGTTGTAAACTTTCCTGGTTTGAACAGGAGACTTCCTGTTTCATGAATAGAAAGGCCAATCAGGTCATGTTGAACACTTTTAGGTACAGGAGCTTTCATACAAGCAGAATTCAGATGAGTTGGTGCTGCATACACTGTAGAGAAGGTTAACAGCAGGAGATCTTATCCTGGCAATTAACTGACCCAACCAAAGTTCTTTGATTATAAGTAAACCCACACCAGAAGATCATGTATGGCAACTACATCCAGTGATCTATGCCATGCACATTTACATATTCACTGTGTACTGATATATGAAGTTACATATGTGGCAGCATATATGGTCAAAGTAAATTATCCAAGAATACTTTTTCATACATTAACCCCTTGCCATCATGGCTCCTTACTGTAATTTAAAATTTATTTCAAATTTTATACTTGTGATAGAGACATTTGGATTTGGTTTGAATTGTGCAGAAAAGTTTATTTATTATACCTGTATGATTGCCTAGAAACACTGGTGCAGAGATTAATAGGTTATGGTATTGAAAACTTGGAAAATGACAAATTTTCAGTGAAAAAAAACAATGTCATGGGGTTAAACATATCTGGGCAACAATCATGTTTTATATACAGGAATAACCAGGTTTGAGGGATGGGCTCCTGCATATAAAGGGTGTCTCCAAATTACTAATACACTTTAATATAAGTAAACTTATACAGGCGATCAATTTCAGCCCATGTACATGCATGTGGTTCTAAGTCTTCCCGCACTTTTTTTAATGAATACTACCAGAGTACAGGCTTCCCTTGCTTTATGTGATTTCATTTTACATGGATTCACACTTGCACAATTTTTTTTTTTTACTATCAAAAATTCGGAAAGCATGGGGCTTGGTTCACAGTTACACAGTAGGAGTTTATTGAATTCTTGGTCTAAAAAAAAATGTGCAAGTGCAAATCCATGTAAAAAAAAAAAAAAAAAAAAAAAAAAAAAAAACGCGCAAAGTGGGGAAGTCTGTATTTGAATCGGGTAAACTATCTAAGGATTGACATCCAAGTAGGTGCATGCATCCTTTCCATAAACTTTTTGGAACGCTCTCTACACCATCGTCGTCAATTTGAACTGTGTGCCACAAAATGCACTTGAAAAACAAATCACTAAAATCATCTAATCATTGTCACAGCAACAAAATGACTTAAGATGAGGGACAACCACCAATTGGCCTTGATATGGTAACACACTAGTAACACACACAGCTGCAATAAGTAAGCAGCATAGACTTTCTGACTACAGCTGGTATGTATGAATGAATACACGTATGCCCATTTCTCATCAAATCACTTGATTGTTTTGTATAGACACATGACTGCATACAGGCAGCAGGTAATCTCTGGGAGGAAATTGATTTTTGATCCCTCTTACCACAGGTAATTATTTTTTGCTGTGCATTCTGGTGGCATTTCTAATAGGGTAGAGGTGAAGGTTTGTGGACAGGTGCCCATTTGTGGACCTTTTTGTGTTTTCTGCCATCCAAAAAATATACACAGGAAATTCATCATCTTGACTGTTCCATGTTATGTGCATGCCAGTCAGCCACCATATAAATTATGTATACTTATTAGCATGAGTTAACTTAGACATTTTTGCTTTGTATGTACCATCCCAGAATTCCTTATGTATTCAGTGATTTTTCTAAATGGATGTGAACCCTTTACAAAGTTGATTGTTGCACAAGAATTTATGCAGGCCTGATGTATGATGTTCAGAAATGTTGCTAGAAGTTCCTAATTCATATTTCTATCCATGTATAGATGAAAAACATTCTCTAAAATGATGAAAGATAGGTGTCCATAAATTGGATCCTCAATTCAAGGTTTTGCCTATTTGTAGACAGTGGTGTCCATGAAGAGGAACCCCTCCTCTATCTTGTGGAAGACAACCCCTCCTCTATCTTGTGGAAGACATTCTTTAGGGTGGAGGCAGGCATTTTCTAAGTACACATAAATTCATAGTATTCAATTCTTTGCATCGCACACGAGTCCCTTGTTCGCTCTGTTTTTCTTCACCAGATATAAATATCAATCCACCTCACAGAGGGGAAAAAATACTGAGAACTTACATCCATTGCAAACATAACAGCCAGTATCCAACATGCTACCCACAATTAGAAAAAACTCCAGTCTGAAGATGACTGCTTCTTAACGTGTTCACAGCCTAGCATAAGTCTAGCATTTTCATATTTGTGGGGAAGTAGGTCCAAGGTAGGTCCTAAGAAAACACTTTTAGATCAATTCATATATTTTCCATTTTTTCCAGCATCCCCAAAAAATGCTCAAATCGAAGTACACAGAGGGAGATTTGTATAACACACTTAATGGGATACACGATGGTAGTCTGTTGATTGGACATGCTGTCAAAAGGTTTGGGGTCCCTAAAAGTACCCTATCTACTGAAACCAATGGTGCTTGGCCCCCTGCAAAGTCAATATAGGGTCCTTTGCCTGTGCTGTCCACAGAGTAAGAGTCAAGGGTGGTCAATTACATAAAGAAGTCTTCCATCAAATGATTTACACTGTTTCAGGACTGAATTCGCACCCCCTATAGGAGTGCCTCCATTGATTCCAGGTAGTGACATCCTACACATCGGTGGTTGCATCCATCACCTGATAAGGCAGAATGTCTGGAAATTTGTGTTTTCTCCATTCTCCACTATAGGGGGTTGGTATGAATTCAATCTGGAAACAGTGTAGTCCTGATCAGTGAAGCTTTTCAAAATCAGAAACATTTTAAGCATGAGACCAGCACAGTAAATTCACATTATTCATATGAAAAGACACATTAAGGCCTTGTTGCCAAAGAAGTTCATGATAATAGAGGAGCAAATAGGCCTACTACTAATAACTTATCAGAAGAAAGAGGTCTTAAATTATTCACAAAGTGGAGGCCTTAGATTTCAATGAGGAGGGCCAAGATCATTGGAAAGAAAGGGGTTTTGGTGACAAAAGAGAAACTTTCAGTCTGGATTAATGACAAAAATTTTTTTTGAGTGAACAAGGTCTTGTGGACTTCATCAGAGAACAAGCAATGGTTTTTCAACTGTACTGAGTTGGGTTTCACCAAAATGGGCAGATGTAACTGTGCTTGCCCAAAAAACATGAAGAATGAGTCTTTTTTTTTCATTTTCATCTCAGTGACAATAAATTAAACTACTGCACACATTCCATGGTTGTCTTCTTATAAGGCCTATCCATGTTCATGACTTTCAAGAAACCAGTGTCCACAAACTGGGTCTGTGAATGTCCACCAACTGGAACCAGGTCATCCACAAATAGGGAACAGCATGAAAATCCACAGATAGTCATTAAAATACCTATTGTTGGAAAAGTATGCAATCAATACTCAATTTTAGAGTATGGATATATAATTATGATACATGACCTCATATTGAAACCAAACACATAGTTTTCCAGTTACTCCAATGACTACAATTTCCAAGATACAAATTTCCTTAACCTGTCCACATACTGGCACCTTTACCCTACTTCAGTGATGCACAACCTATGGGCCACAGGCTGCATGCAGCCTGTGGAGATCTTCTTTGCGACCCCTTGGATGCCTCTGGTCTCTAAAGATCTATATTTATATGCAGTTTATTTCGGCTCATGTTTGAGGGCCTGTGCCATTTTGACAGATCAAGTTATTCCAATCCTTAACCCAAGCACACTATATGGTGTGCTTTTGCTATAGTGTCATGTCTTTCATTTTTATTTGCATTTCTGAGTTTGTAAGATGGCAGCACTCATCAGAGAATTAAGTGATCAAAGACTACCTGAGAGTAATTGATGGAATCTAGGGCAGGGGTGTCAAACTCGAATAGGCTGGGGGCCAGATAGAAGCCTTCAGGGTTGATTAGGGGCCACAATAAAAATCTAACGCCTAATCTTTAAAGCAAACAGGGTGGGAATTTGCAGTACTTTTTTCTAAGCAACTGTTGAAGAGGACTTTGCAGGCCGGACAAAATGGACTGGCGGGCCAGATCCGGCCTGTGGGCCACCAGTTTGACACCCCTGATCTAGGGGATAAGGTGGAAAAATCAAGTAACTCATGTGACATGATGTTTTACTGCATCTATATTATTACATACTATGAAGGAGTTGCATTATCTGGACTTTTTTGGCATGGACTCATTTCCTCATCTTAGGAATTTTTTTCAACCAGCAATTTGTCCAGGATAGCTCTTCTTTGCCAATAGCACATTCATGGGGAATTCATTTGAGTATTTGATGCTTATTGAATTTTGGGGCATTCCATCAACAACCCATAGAATCGAACCCCAAAAATACCTGAACAAATTCATTAATAAACAGAAATGAAGATGTTAGAAAGGTGGGAGTGAAGGTGCTCAAGAGGTAATGAACCCAAACCTGATGAGTATAGGACATGGAACAAAATGATGAAAGAAGGGGGTGAAATAAACATGAACTCACAGGCAGGAATCAACGAGTTGGCTACTTGACATGTTTAGTTCCCTGAAGCTGTCTTCCAATCCGTTCTGATTCACATGATTACACTTGCCCTGGAGGAAAGAAACAAGTGGGTGACATGAAGATGAAATATAGAGGGTGCAAATTGAGAAGGAAAGAGTTCTCAGGAGCAAATGAGTCCTTTAGATCATCAATTACAGGCAAGTCCTTGTCCAAGACATCCAAAGTCCTTCCAATGTAAAAAAGGGCACCAAAAAAGAAGCAATGATGGATGAAAAATTGGATACCCCTTCCCATCCATTACAATGGCCTTCCCACTGACAACTCATTTATATAGCCTATCCATCTGGATTCCTCCCTCTTCCTTTCTGAAGATAAAATGAGTGTATCTATTACAAAGACCTTCAACAAAGTTGTCATTGAACGTTTCCAGCATACCTGTTGAAACCATTGTGTAATATGTTCTTCTTGACTGAGCAATATCTCATAAGGAATGATAATCTGGGTGGTGAGGAAAAAATCAAGACATCCTGCATGACACTCAATGAAATCAACTGCAGACCCCCACCAGGTTCCTATTTTTATCACTGAGAAAAAAAATCAATCTAAAAGTTGTTCCCTGAAAATTAAGCATCCAAGTCATTTAGATAAAAAGCTACAAGCAACAGTCATTCAAATTTCAGAAGATTCAGGTTTTCCATGTATAAGACTGGAGAAGTTAGCACTGCTCAAAAGATCAAAGCTCTCATTTGGAACAATAAAGAAATTATGACTATGTTTCAGGCATAGAATTCTAAAATTATGTAGCGTCTTCAGGTCACAGCTGAAAAGGAAACGCCTCTATGTAATGAAGGCATGCTTGTAATAGGACTGGAGAGGGGTGAGCATCTAATTAGAAAAAATCAAATCATGGGCTGTGATCTGTCTTGGCCTCTTCCTTCTCCAGCTCTTACCTTGAAAAAGCACATTTATTGTAGAGGTATTTTCCTTCACAAATTGATGTCAGGTAAACACCTGATTGATTAGATTTACTAATACTGCACCATGGACTAAGATGGCACATACCTGAAGCAGCTGACATATATGTCAATAGCATTAAAATGGTTATAGAAGTTTGAATGACTGCTGTCCTTTCTTTCAACATTGACACATGACACTCTGGCAATAAATTTTTCTATGCATTTTCTCTGTGATATGCTTGTCATTCTAGTTCCCATAGCAAAAGGTCTATCTAACCCATCTAGTTAATATCCCATTTCCCTTCTGTCCATAGTTGACAAGCTCTTGAACCCATCATTAATTCCCACTCAAAGGTCTGCCTTGGGAAGTCAGCATGATAACTGATATGAATATTGGCATCTGTCCAAACAGGTAAACACTCAACTACCCAGCTGCTATTTCTTTTGAATTGTTTGAAACCCTTTCTTCTAATGAAGCTTTCCACTTGTCTTTGACATCTCTGAAGCATTTGACAGTATGGCACTAAGGGCTAGAATTCAGCAAAAATTTCAGGGTCACTTGGTCTGTCCCACAGCATTCCAGGAAGTCACAGAATTGTATCTAATCTGAACTCAAGGATATAAATGACAACACATGCTAAACCATGCATGTGACATATGTGTCTAAAACACATAGAATCATATATGATTTTTCTCAATGGGATTGTCCCAAAGGAACATACAATTCCTCCAATTAGGCCCAAAATCCAAATCTAAACGAACATTCTAATAAAAAATATCTTTTGATTCAATAAAATCTAATTACTTTTGTACATTCTTTAATGAAGAACCTTCACCATATCACTTTTCATAATGAATTTCTCCATCCTTGCCTATACCTTTAAGCTTTTTAGGGTTACTATCAATAGATGGCTAATTTGACTAAATCTTTACAACACTGCTAACTTTACATGTATTTTTGGTTTCTTTTTCTCTTTTGTAGTGCAGCTACACAAAAGACACTTCATAGGTATGCTCAAGGAAGGCATTCAATTCATCTAACTCTCCCTTCTCAAGAAGATTCAGTCACTTTCTTCAGGTTATCTGGCATTAATAATCTGAATAATTTTTATATCCATCTACTCTAACTTGGTTCTGACTCTAATATAGTATTTTGCTTTTCTCATCTCCTCTTTTTCTCTCTCAGTACCAAATTTCTTCTCTACTTCCTCCTCTTTGAACATTCTTGCACAGGATACTGGCATGCTTTTCTTCCAAGGACAGGGTCACAATGGAACACTCCAAGATGTTTTTCCATTAGACTTGTA